ATTAAAATACAGACATAACCAATAAACATGTGTTGGAAAAAAAAGAAGTCCTCCATTAGATCAACTTCCTTTCAGGCCATGACTCAACATCACTGACTGGCTGAGAGGAAGAACATGATGCGGTCCAGGCTCTGGACCTCGGCTTGGCCATTACAATACACACAAGCACACACACCCCCCAAAGTGAAACTCACATCATAAGCTCCAGCTTTTATCTGCTGGTACAGTCTATGCTGGTCCTCATCCCAGAACGGAGGGTACCCTACCAGCAGAATATAGAGGATCACCCCTAAAAACACAAAAACAAACGAGATAGTGGAAATAGAGCTTTATAACAATGATAATCTTAGGCATAAATTAAGGCATAAATTAAGAGTAAGTCAGGATAAGGTGTGATTAAAGGAGACTTCACTGCATGCACAATTAGAAGGAAACAAGAAAAAAACAAATCATACATAATTCATGTTCAAACATATATTTTATTGCAGAATTGTTCATATTTTCTGCTTATTGTTTGATCCATTGATTCTGACAAATGTTTGCACACAGTGCTAATTATTGAGTAGCCATAGTGAAAGGAACCAAGCAGGAAACAGCTGAACAGTGTATAATGCTCAATGATTGTGTTTGCTGGTGCTACCAGGAGTGGTGTTTCTGATTGGTCGGCTGATTGCCAGGAAAAGATGAAAGACTATTGATGCTGTGGATTCAGTTGGTCAGCACAAGTGTGTCCTACAGAGTGTGTGCGCATGTGTGAGTGAGTGAGTGGTACATCTCAGGCCCAGGTAGCCTGGCCCATCAGACATGTGTGGTGTGGCTGTCAGCACCCATTAATTCAAGAGCTCACTGGGCATACACACAAATCTACAGAGCAGAAAGAAACTGTGGATATGAGCAACTATTTTAAATGTAATGCTCATTCAATCTAATCTATGAACATATTTAATGTGATATTTGCATTCAGCTGCCCAACACATTCAATGGCCAACCCAGTCATCTGCTGTTCCACTGCAATACATGAGCTGTGTTGTATCTTTGAAACTGTAAATCATGGAAATTATTGCAGTGATAATGCACAACCACCTTCTAAGCTGGATATGGCTGTATTTTATCATTACAGTGCAGAAAATCTCAGTTGTATTTCGATCCATTTACTGTCGATGGCTACTTTCACACATCAGCTGCTCTTGATGTTCAATTCCATGTTATTTGCTGAAATATTTTCTGTGTGGTCGTTTATACTTGAATGATGGGACTGCAATTAGACTTCTGTGAGAACAGTTTACGACCCCAAAAAGACTCACGTGACCAGAAGAACAGACATACATAATAGACATAAAGAAGCAGGGCCGGCCCAAAGCATAAGTAAAATAAGCAGCAGCTTAGGGCCCGAGGGGCCACTGGAGAGCCAAGTGCAATTGATTTTTTGTTATTACTTTTTCTAGTAATGATATGATTCTATTACACACAATTTCACTATAAAATTGTAAATATGCATGTGTGTGTGTGTGTGTGTGTGTGCGAAATGTGCAGAAAACCTTACCACAGGCCCACATATCCACAGGCTTGCCATATGGATCTTTCCTCAGGACCTCTGGAGACAAATACCCTGGTGTCCCAGCAAAACCTGAAACAGACAAACACACACATATTAACATTAAACTGGGCCATCTGCTATGTGAGAAAGTCCATTAAAAACTTGTCAGTAACAAGTAGTAGGACCCAGGGATTAATGTCCCCATAAAGCCAGGTTTGTGAGTGGAGCTCAACAAACTGGAAGAAAGAAACACACTGAGCACCATGTAGAGCTCAGCATCCGTACCATGCAGTCTAGTTTGAAACTGGATTCAGAGTACTGTCACATCCTTAGGCAAAGAGAAGGAACACAACTTACAGTAAAGTCAGAACACAACATGAAATGGTTCCAGTTAGAAACTGATGCTCAGGGATTAGACTAATTATTTCTCTATGGGGAGAGAGAAATTGTTCTGAAGTGAAGCCAAAAGGAATCTGAGATGAGAGTTAGGAGCTGTGGCATACCTATGTCCTTCAGAAAGCTAAATAAACTAATACTGTGGTATAGGAATAAGCCAAGAACTGGCATAGGTTACTATCAAAAGCATCTGATGGAGGAAAACCAGATACTTTCCCATATGTGCAGCGTTGATGTACAATTCCATGTCCATGTACCCTAGCCAATGATGATCATTCCCACATATTCAAATCCACCTAATTCCTAGGGGTGACGCTGTTGGATTGATTTTTTTTTTGCAACTTCCTGTGATCAATCTGAGCGTATTTTTATACCTACTCATATGTAGCAAGTTCTCTTTTTTCAATAATTGATTTTCTTTTACATCAGGTTTCTTAATCTTTATCCAGTTTCAATAATCTACCAACATCTTTTAAATAGTCAGTATTATGCATTTCCCAAGCACACAATGCCGTTTTATAGAATTGCATCAAGTAAGTGATGCAATGCTATCACTCACTCAGCACAGTCGTGGGTGGGTGGGTGGGTGGGTGGGTGGATGGATGGATGGGGATGGATGGATGGATGGATGGGCTGAATCTTAAACTCTAAAAGCACCAAATAAAGTAAAATCAGATTTAGTCATTTGTATAATATAATCCTTGGGTGACATTGTGGTCCACATTACATACCAGTTGGTGGCAGCAACATAACGGCGGTAAAGCAAAAATTTTGATATTTGGAGCAAAATGGAGGCAGTTGATGATGTCATTGGCCAAAATTATAACTTTTAATATCTCATAAGGGACAGTTGCACAGACGAAAATTTAATGGCACAAACCTGCACAAACGGAGCACTAACAAACTAGCCCACTTTGGTTTGTTTTGGAGCAATATGGGGGCATGGTGAACTCTGGATGACCTAAAAAATAAATTTTAATATCTCAGAAACCAAAGCTGCACAGACGAAAATTTTAACGGCACAAACCTGCACAAACAGAGCACTAACCATTCAGACTATTTGCTGGATTTTTTGACGTGGGTGGGATGTCAGCTTCACACAGCTCAAAAAAATCAGCTTTCTAAAATAATGACCTAAATCTTACTTAACAAAAGTGTTTTTTTTTTACATTGCCTAAATCATCTTTTGGCAAGAAAGAGGTGGTCATGTTTTGCTTAAAGCAATTTTGGAAAAAAATTACTTGGGCTGTTGCATTAGGAACGTGACAAAATAGCAAACTTCTGACAGCTATAGCTTGTTAGGAGCCGCACATAACAATGGAGTTGATGAAGCACCTAAATGCACTCAGATAGTCGGAGGTAATTTTTCAGGCTGTCCTCCACTGTATGGAAGAAAAAAGCTTGGTTATGACTATATTATTCTGTTTAAGATATAAAAGGTTCCATCTGTACATGTTCTGTAGAGAACTTGTTTGCATGTGCAAGAATTTTTGACCAGAAGTCATAACTTCAGCAAAGTTAATAATATGAAAAGATGGATCTTCCTAACGAACGGTTTTCACTTAGAGACGTACGGTTTTCTCTACTTTTGGTGCTTATTGTCCCTCAGGAATTAATTTTGGAAATGTGGTTAGCAACTATTTAATTCAAAGTCAATTTCATCTAAACTTCCTTATGGTTTTCTTGGACTGGGAGGTATGATTAATTTAACTGCATAGATATATGGAAGAAGCAGGAAAAAAATAAGTACTACCGATCTCACTCAAATTAAGAAAAAGCTTGTACTTACCAAACCATGCCTGCTGGTCTCCCTGCACTTCTATAGCCAGGCCAAAATCAGCCAGCTTAACTGCTGCTCCCTTCAGTTTACTGGCTAGCAGCAGGTTCTCTGGCTTGGATTGGAGAAACAAAATATACCTTTAATATTTCACAGCAGCACAGTCATGCAACAATAAGTTGAAAAGTTGAAACCAAAGGTAAAGGCGGAAAAGTTGTGAAGGGTTTCCCCCAGTGTATTAAAAGCCAGGCGGACCGTGTTGATGCCATGAGTACTGGACTCAGTAAGTTTTCTGGGGGAAACCTTGCTATCGTTTCATGATGACATGAAAAACTAAAGTTAGAGCTCAGCTGAGCTAGAATCCAAACTGCTAAATAACCAACTCATGCCTGGAGTCATAAGCTGACTTCAGTAAGGGGAAGTGGGCGCCGCGTCTGATCTCCAAACAGCTGAGTGGGGAGATGCTGATGGATTCTGCTTAAACCAGACAGAAGCAGATACTTGGAAGAATGTGACTAATGCTGAGATGGAAAAGGTTTCAGAGAAGGTGAATCACACACACTTTGACATTTACAAAAAAAAGTGCAATTTCTAATCCTAGAAATTGCAACATTTTTTGTCTAACAGTAAAGTAACAACAAAGGAAGAAAGTGATTATCTACTCCCATTAATTTATTCAATAAATGTTCAGAAATGAAGGTCTTACATTAAGTTCTTCACATAAATGAGTTATATGGAGGACGAGTGGATATGGATGGTGAATCTGACAGGAAGTTGATAACATGACTTGTTTTTCATCTACAGCAGCAATCACTGTTAAACCAGCAAGATGCTGGTCCCAAAACTGAGAAAACATTTCAATGATATGCAGGATGTGGTGCTCATTTCCAGCTCATAACACTTCCTGCTAGCTGCTGAAATTAAGTTGGATCCAATATGAAAAGCCATACCATGTATACTGACTGAAGAGCTGAATGCCCAGCACACACTGCGCTCTTTGTAATCAAGACATTTGAAGGTTGGAGCTGGGTTAAGGTGAAATTAGCACGTATGAAAACATAAGATAACGCTCTCTGGAATGACCTGGTTCACAGTAGGGTTGCACTGATAAAGCAGCAGGCCAATAAATCGGTGCCGATTTCCTTAGTTTTGGGTTATCGACCTAAACTTGCATGAAAAATTTATCTTATCCACCAATCTACTAAACCTCCACAAAGGACTGAAAATCAGTTAATGTCCCCTTGTAAGAGTGGGTTGACCCACCAAGTCACATCTGTACATGTGGTTAAAAATAGTATAGTATGAAGCACCCCAAAGTGCTTCACGCTACATTTTAGTCATTCACACATTCATGCACACACTGATGATGATAAGCTACAAGCCTGCAATCTGACAGAGGTGAGACTGCCAAGCACAGTCGCTACTGGGTCCTCTGACCTCCACAAGCAAGCAAGGTGGGTGAAGTGTCTTGCCCAAGGGCACAACGACAGAGGGGATCGAACCAGAAACCTGTCGATTGCAGAGCGAACTCCTACCACTGTCGACCCTATGAAATATGGTAAATGGTAAAGGGCTTTGTACTTGTACAGCACTTTATCAAGTCCAGAGGATCCCAAAGCAATTCACACTACAGTCATTCACCCATCCCCAAAACACGCTGATGGTGCCAAGCTACAAGATGGTAGCCACAGTTGCCCTGGGGAAGTCTGACAGAAGTGAGGCTGCCATGCACCGGAGCGGGGTGAAGTCCTACCCTGATGTCGCCCCACAATCGATGTCAAAATAAGGCAACCAATTTGGCTTTAGTACATTTTGGTATGCAGAGGAGCTCATGGATGTGACTATGTTATTCACATCCATGAATAATATCACTAACCCTTTGAAGCTTTAAAACAAGTCAACATCATCAGCCCTACACCATAGAACTTCTCAGCTATTAAGTGCTTGTGCTGATATGCTACTTGTGGTCTTTGTCATATTCAGCACATGCACAGTATCTGGAGGTCTGTACTCGGTTCCTAATAACACAAGGACAGACAAATACATATTAATGAAACTATGAAACATTTTCTAATTGCTCTGCCCTTAACAATACAGACAGCAGTTAAGATTTCAAGAGTCTGAGTTGGAGCTCTTCATTTCTTTAGGCATATCTTTGGATCTTAATATCCATTACTGAAGAGAATTTAATGCGACAAAATGGAAACCAAGTTTCTCAACGTGTCCAGGTGATAGATGCTGAGAAACAGATTGAAAGGTTCCGTTCCAAGTCACTTCCATCATGGTTCATATGATGGAACCATGATGGAAGTTCCATCATGGTACAAGAGAAGTTCTATTCAAGAACATATCTGGTATATCCATTTATGCTTTAAAAACCAAAGGGCATTATGGGGTCAAAGGCCAGTCCTAATGTGGTGGACCCTATTTCTTGGGTAAGGGTAAGGTGTTAATATGGGTAGAAATACAAACGTGTGTGCGTGCGTGTTTTCCCCCTTATTTGTTGATGGGCTGATTTGTTTCCTGTAGTTGTTTGTCTTAGAGTTTGCCAACAAGCCATTCCAGCTGCCTGGCAACAGCCAATCAGGTCACTAAGAGGCAGCAGTCATCCAATGCAAAATGCAAGCTTATTATTGTTGAAAGTAAACAAAACCTTGCGCACACACACACCTGCTGCATTTGGTTACCAAATGAGATCTTTCTGAACAAACCACGTTCAGAAAAATCTGCTTTAGAAATTTAGAAGAAAAAAAAAGTTGAATGTAACATGATTTGAATTCAAATTGTTCACAAGAAATGTATCCTAAATATACATGAGCTTAATTTTAAAACCAAATAGTTTGGTGATTAAGTTAGAAAAAGATGGTTTGGATTTAGAAGGGAAGAATCAGCCAAAAGTAGAACAAAAGGCAGAGTGAGGTCACAGAACAGGGATGTAAACATATGTCCACTTACCTTGAGGTCACGGTGAACCACACCCATCTGGTGGCAGTGGAGCACAGCCTCTAGGATCTGCTGAATGCAATGACTGCATGCAAACACCAGGGGGCCTCGGGTTAGTGACAAGCTCTTACCTACAACACATTCCTGTGCTTGCTTTAACACTTGGGCAGCTGCTGGCCGTGTTAGTGGTGAGCCTGTGCAGGAAGGTTAAGTCTGACCACAAGACCACAAGAGCCATTCATGAAAATGATCTACATACTAAACGGGATTCTGGAGATGTTTCTCTGTGGCTGTAATAGCTGAACTAACAGCCGATTTTCTGCTCAGGTGTCAAAACAAAAGTGGGTTTCAACCCTGACCAACCAGAGGAAGGACCACGGATGAGAGGAGGGAGACAGTGGTACACCTATTCCTGCTTCCCTTCTGTTCCCCCATAAATCTCTTTCTCCTTACAAAGATGTTAGTTTGAGCCACCATGCAGACTTTCTGGATTTTATTAACAGTGAAAATTCTTTCCTCTGGTGCTAATGAAGACACTGAAAAGTATTAATTTAACCAGTGGTGGGCGCTGCTAACTAAAAAAGCTAGTTGTGCTAAACCTACAGAACTAATTTAGTTTCAATAACTAATGCTTAAAGGCTATGCTGAAATGGTATTTAGTGGAAGCTAATGCTAGCCAGTTTCTGGTTCTGCTGGGGTTTCGTCATGCTGTTGGGGAGTTTTCCTTTCCACTGTTGCTACATGCTGGTCCAGGAGAAGTGAATCCTGCCAGTCGATGACTTGATACAACCTGCAAGGTTTCCCAAGATGGAAAACTTTTTAAAGTAATTTTAATGTTAAACAGAGCTTGACTGATAACTAGGATACATTTTGAAAATATATATGATTTGACTGTTTTTGTTTGCTATGTCCCTTTAGATGGCATGTGTTGTGGATTGGTGCTATTTATATAAAGTGATGCTTTTGTTCCTCAGGTTTTCTGCTCATTATCATTCTCTCTTTATCACATTTAACATCAACAGCAGCATGCTGTGCAACCACAATAACCATCCCCCTATACACTTGAGATGCACCAATCAGGTATTAATATCTGTTTCAGTCCAGACATTGAAAAAAATTGTAAATCGAAATTGATTGCATAAATGTGATGCATACATGTGCGTGAAGGCCTTTAAAATGTATGGACATTTTTTTCAGTGTGCTTCAATACAATGTAAAACGTGAGAAAAAAAAAAGCTTTTTATGACAGAAACATTACATTTTTAATTTCTACAGCTATGTCACAGTAGCCCCTCATTACTATTTGATACTGTTATGATGTTAAAACAGCAAGCTGTCCCTCCTCCTCTGCCTCATCACCTGTTTGGTCCCCACCTGTGTCAGAGCGTGGCTTTAACATTGGCCTACATGCATTATGTGCTCTGTATAAAACTGAAGCAAGCAATGATGATGTCTAGCGGGCTGAAAGCGCTACTCCATCCATCACCTCCTTCTCTGCCAACCTGTCTCCATCTTCCTGCCACAGGTGGGCAGTGAAGCAATCTGGCAGGGCAGATGAGCAAGCAAAGGGCAGGTTGAGGGTGTGCCAGAGGCGACCCTCAGAGGAACAGTAATTGGTCGACTGATCAGGCACTTTAGAAGCAAGGCAAGGTGCCACAGGTGGACAGAGTGGTCACTCACTGACCTTCAGGTCCCTGTGTGTGATGCCATTTATGTGGCAATGATTTATACTTTCTAGAATCTGCTGTATGCAGTGACCGCAGAGGAGACAAAGACACCGGCCCAGAAGCAAAAAGGAGAGGAAAAGGGAGAGTTTAGGTGATATCAGGCTGACAGAATACAGAAGCACAGAAATCGGCACAGACAGTGAAGAGTTCAGCTTTCAGTGGAACTGCTGGGACTGTGGCCCCAAAGTCTTTTCTATAGTGTGCTAATTATGGGGTTTAAATAACAAAAATGTGTGACGTTTATGTTAAATATACTTCACTTACAAGTGCAAATATATTTTATATAAATAATCAAAACTGGCCTTTACATTGTTTTTCAAAGCAGATAAATCATTTTAAACACTTTTCTCAGGCAGGAAGCCAAAAAATTTGAATATTTAGGTGAATTTGTAGATGTAGCGGTTTTCTGGAGCCAGGCCACTTGCTGCCTGCTTTACAGGTAAAGGATGAACTACAACACTTACAACACATGCATGTTGTCATGACACAAAACAAACCAGCAGCTGTCATTTTTAAAACCTTTTAAATCAACTGAATCCACACCAGAACTGAATGTTATCAAATCAAAGTTACTAAGGTCAGTATAAGGCCATCAACTATTGATGGTGATAAACTCTAAAGCTCCTCAATGAGACAGCATCTGAAATGACTGAAGTTTGAACTATGAAATTAAACTCTAGTAAGATGAATCTCTGTTAGATCATCAGACCATAAAGATTCTGTTTTCAGGTGGATCCATTCCATAAATCACACCGAGATGGAGATTACACCGTGTTCCAAATTATTATGCAAGTGATATTTTCTCAGATTTTCTTAAATGGTCAATGCAAATGATGGTCAGTATAATTTTCAAGCCATGAACTATTACAGTATAAATCAAATTTTACTGAACAAACCTCCCAATGAGAACAGTATTTTTTTCAAAAATAAAAAACTCAAACTGCACTGTTTCAAATTATTATTGCACAGCAGATTTTATAAACATCTTATGGATTATAAAGAACTGCAAACCTGTGGTCACAGGTACTAAAATCAAAAGTTATTTCAATGTAAAACATCTTAACACACCGAGTTACATGTTAACATAGGACCCCTTCTTTGATATCACCTGCACAATTCTTACATCCATTGAACGTGTGAGTTTGTGGATAGTTTCTGCTTTCTTTCCAGGATGTCAGAATACCTTCCCAGAGCAGTTGTTTAGATATGAACTGCCTCTTGATATGAACCATTAGATCTTCTGCTTGAGGATACTCCAAAGGTTCTCAATAGGGTTGAGGTCAGAGGAGGATGGTGACCACATCATGAGTTTCTCCCTTTTTATGCCCAATAAAAGGGGCACACAGGAATTCCTTGCGGCATTCCTGTGTCATGCTGCAAGGAATGACACAGTGGTATTACTTGCAGCATGCATTGTCATGCATGAATATGATTTTGCTACTGAAGGTACGGCTCTTCCTTTTGAGCCATGAAAGAAAGTGATCAGTCCGAAAGTCCATATACTTTGCTGAGGTCATTTTCACACCTTCGGGGACTCTGAAGGGGCCAACCAGCTCTCCAAACGATTTCGGCCCAAAAAAATGACTCCACTACCTCCTTTCTGACATCACAGCCGTGTTGGGATGTGGTGGCCATCCACCACCAATCCACTACTGTGTCCGTCTGGACCATCCATGGTTGCACAGCAGTCATCAGTGAACAAGTCTGTTTGAAAATTAATCTTCATGTACGGCTGGGCCCACTGCGACCGTTTCTGCTTGTGAGCACTGGCTAGGGGTAGCCAAATAGTAGGTTCATGCACCGCAAGCCTCTGAAGGATCCGACACCTTGAGGTTCGACAGGCACCAGCAGCTTCAAATAACTGTTTGCTGCTTTTTAAAGGCATTTTAACAGCTGCTCTCTTAATCCGATTAATTTGTCTAACAGAAACCTTCCTGATTGTGTCTTTATCTGTACAAACCCATCTTTGTTCTGAATCAGCCACAAATCTCTTCATAGTACGATATCGCTTTAGTTTTTGTTAAATATCTAATGTTTTCATACCTTGTCATATAGCACTACACTATCTGATCATTTTCGTCAGCAGAGATCCTTTTTCTTTCCAGTATTGCTTGAAACCTGTGGCCTGCTTAATAATGTGGAACATCCTTCTTAAGTAGATTTCCTTTAATTGAGCTCACCAGACAAACTAATCAACCAGCTCTCTGAAATTAATTATAGTGATTCAAAGAGCCCTGACACACAATATCATCTATAAATTTAGTAGCACAACAAAAAAATTAATCTTTATGACACTTAAATTCAATTTGCACAAAAATTTGGAACACGATGTAAAAGAGGACTGACCATAATGAAAGAAGAGATTACTTTTGATATTAAAAGCATATGAAACACATAGGAACAAAAATTCTTGTGATGTGTTTTTAATGATTCATACTGATACATTGGATTGTTCCATCTCTAAAGTTTGTGCTTCCCTATGCCTTCAAGGTCCAAAGTATGACACGTCTCACCAACATGTTATCCAAATATCATAAGATCAGACTCAACACTGACCTGGCATCAGCTTCGCTGTAGTACTCCCTGGCAACAATGTCCTCAAACAGCTCTCCACCAGTGACTCTGGTGATAAGAAAACATGCGACATAGTTTGATAAAGAGTAAAATTAGATGGTTCTTCCCATGTCTGCAGAAGAAAACCCCCTCACATTTCATCAAATTCTACATATAAACTGATTCTGTCCTGAAATTAGGAGTGCACAAATACATCATCCCAGATTTCCTTCATTTTGAAAAACTGACAAATGGCTGATTCAGTCTTACCTGCCAAGCTCATCTCTCAAAGGCCGGCCAGGCGGCATGGGCGGGCACTGAGAGGACAGTGCCCATCCACAGAGTCAGCTGTCCCCCCCTTGCAAAGGAATTTTTTTTTTTTTTTTTTTTTTTACCTCAGAGTGTCCAACTTTCTGTTATTCTATCTCGATTTGATACAATAGGAGTTCCCACACCTCATATATTATATATATATATATAT